TGTTCAAACTTGACAGCTTTAAGACTTGTGGACTTCAACTCCCAGAATTCCTCCTCTCGCTCTTCATCTTAATGATTTGTGGAGGGGGGGGAGGGAGCTGGAACCGGTTCTAAACAGCACTGTAGATTTGTGGAACTTCTTCTATAGAAGAGGTTAGAACTGGCAGGAACCCATCCCTGATTCCAAACCTTCCATTCTGCCATTCGCTATTGTAAAGCAGTCAGGCATTTGTGTTGCCACTTAGACAGAAAACTTGTTTAAAGTAGGAATGTTGAAAAGAAGTATAGCAATTCTACTTCACCGTTGTTTCCAATCCCCAAGTCTGTAGTTCCAGTCTTAAGACTAGCCCATGATTCTTCCTGCCTATAAACCTTTCTCCCATGGTTCCACCTGGCTGGTATAAATTGGCAGAGTTAGCACACTCCAGGTTCCTTTCATTAAACAATTCTAACTAATAACCCAGGCGGGGGACATTTTTTCTACCCAGCCGTGATCCATGTGGTTGCCATCATGATAAGGCTCCAAAAGATCTTGAAGATTTAGCTGCTCTCTCATGCCTTGGTTAGGATGGACAGAGTTTCTTAGAGAAGATTTTCTACATGTTCTGTATTGAGTTGGCAGATGCCATCTTGATTATTTGTATTGCATTGTGTTTTTCATTTTCCGTTTGTTTTTTTCCATTGTGAGTCATCCAGAATTGTTTTGGAATTTGTAACATCTAAATCTAATTAAATAAAGGATAAACAAACAAATAAACAGTTTAGGTGAGTTTTTAGGTCTCCAGTAGATAAATGTGATGAGGTAAGTAGAAAATACTTGGGAATCTAGATAAGTGACCCCTTCTTTTTAAAAACGTTGTTCTTATAGGCAACCAGAATCCCTTATTGCTTTGCAAAGTGTTCCAATTGGGAGCTGATATTATCTGTTTCTTAATCCCTGCCTAAAGTATAGGTTAACGTACAACCAAAATTTAAAATAGTTTCCCAGGCCCAAAAATGCATATCTAATATACTCCTAAGGGTAGAAACTTGCCAAGTGAAGACTGAAGTTAGTTTATTCATCTTTAATTATTGATTTAAATGCGATTATTTCCTATTTGCGTTTGATTCCGCCTCACCCCTGATTAATCCCAGATTTCCTGGATTCAAACAATACATTGAAAAAACTACTCTTATGTGGCATTAATTCCTTATATTGTCTTGAATTTATTCAGACCAAAATGGTTATTAGAGAAAGTCTTTAGAGATTTCAAAACAAGGAAAATCATAAANCCCACTAGTGGGCGGTAGGGACCAGGTTGACTACCACTGGTTTAAATATATTGGAACTACCCTTTAGAACAGGAAAGGTTTTACTAATGCTTCATAAGAGGAAGTTTTATAGACTTACAATAGGCTTACATAACTTCAAGGCGTTTAATTCCTGCTGTTTACAAACATGGCAGCATTAAAGAAGTAGAGTTGGTAGGGTTTTTTGCCCTCTTCCAAGATTTTTTTAAACTAGGCAACAGTCCTAGAATTTGGGGTTATTGTCTGCCACATATGGGAGACATCAGGTTGGGAAGACTGCTGTAGATAACTCATTCTCACCACAAGTGATAACATGAGTGTATTTTGTAGACTTATCATATGGGCATTAATGTAAAATATATGCTTAGTGTGCATAGGTATATACACGGAATCCGTAAGTACAGAATTTGAAGCTGAATACTGTCATTTTCAGTCATACCATCTATTCTTATTTTATCTATATATCTTGTAGATAACTTGCTTTTGCAAAGAAGTTTCTTGATGAGAAAACCACCCCATATCAATGTTTTATCATGTCTGATCAGAGGGAGCAAGTTCCAGCCTTGCCTTCTACTTCAAAAGAAGAGAGCAAACAAGTCAAAGACATGAACCCTTTAGTGTTTATTAATGACAGCAGTAAAGGTAAATCTCACAAGTATTATTTAATGCCATTTTATATTACTTGATTCACTACATTTGCTCTGCTGCTGATTTGGTTTTTGATGATTGGAATGTATTGTTTATTTCAAGTATCATAGGTTATTGCTTAAAGCTGTTGTTTTAATCCTTTTACAAAGTCCAGAATCACTGTTGTAGATAGGTGGCCATATATATTTAAATAAATAAAATGGCTGTAAGAAAGTGAGACAATGGATTATTTGCTATCTTCTCTGCAAAGCGCTACCTGCCCAGAATAGGCCAAACAGTAAGAAAAAAACAGAGCCGAGGTGGTGCAGTGGTTAGAGTGCAGCACTGCAGGCCACTTCAGCTGNCTGGTGGCAGCTCCAACGGCTCCTGCTGGGCCACAACAGAAAACAATATTTTTAAAAAGTCTACATTTATAAATTTCTGTACAAACTGCTAATAGAAAGTTTTGGATGATTTCCAGAAGCTGAAGAAATATAAATATATATATTGTCATATATATATATTTAACTGTTGGACATTGTTTCTTTTCTTTGTTTGTCAACCTCAGTTCTTTGGAAAAAAATTCAAAGCAATTGCTATGCTGTCAGTTTTCATCGTTTCCGCTGCAGTACATGAATATACCCTGGCGATTTGCTTGGGTTACCTGTATCCAGTCATGTTCTCCTTGTTCCTGTGTTTTGGAAGTAAGTATTAAATATATCCCTTGGCAGTATAGCAAAATGTTGAGGGGAAGAAATAATTTGAATAATAAATGGCAAATTTGCAATATGTCATATTGGTGAGGTTCCAGCATGGCTAGCATTTATAAACTCTGATCCAGAAATCATTTCTGATCTCAGATGTCATTCCTCTTTTCCGGAGCCAGTTTTGAGGCTGAGGACAGAGTTGTTTGGTGGGAATATCTTAGATGTAGGGTACTCATTGGAAAACAGATGGTGTGAGTAAAGCATGTCCAAGATTTGCTGGAGAACATTGTGAGAGTTGAAAAAAAAGGGGGGGGGGAGACGATAAGAGTAGAGTGAAAGGTTCTTTCTTCCTCCTCTTAATAGCTGTGTGTTCTGCCTTTAATTTTTCCATATTGGAGTATAAAATTCAAATTACGTTGTTAATTTTCAACTTGACTGACTGGCCTTGTAGTGTATTAAACATGTTTTATCATTGCAACAATGTTTTGATGCATTTGGGTCTAGAGGGGGGGGGAGCAGGGTTTATAATCTAAACTGTTGTTTCCTTCCTTCAGTGGTTTTCAACTTCATTCTCCACGACCGGCGGAAAAACCCCATTTTTAACATCATCATGTGGGCGTCCCTCTTCCTTGGCCAAGGTGTCCTTATTTGCCTTTATGGGCAAGAGTTATATGCCCGTCAGTACTGTCCCAGGGAAAATGTGAGTAATATGTTTGTAATAAGAATAGGTTCGGTTGCTATTGAGAGCCATTAATTTAGAGACAAGAACTCCAAAAAAATATTATATTTGCATTACGAATTTCTCAGCTGGCATTCCAGTTCTAGAAAAATTAAGATCATGCATTCTTGGGAGGTAGGGCAGGAACGTAGCAAGGAACCGTGACCCGACAAATGCGCGGACGACAAAAGCGCGCCTACAAAACCGCGGTGCTAAAACCGCGACGTCATCAACACGATGTCATCAACGCGGCGACAACGCGCCGACAGAAGCACACCGACAGAAGCGCGATTTAAGGTAAGGGTTAGGTTTAGGGTTAGGTTTAGGTATACAGCGCGCTTCTGTCGGTGTGCTGTTGTCGGCGCGTTTCAGCGCTCATTCGTTGGCGCGCTTTAGAACTCGTGGTTTTGTCACCGCGGTTTGGTCGGGCGCGCTTTTGTCATTCGCCCTTTTGTCGGTGAACCGCAAGGAACTACATGCGTATGGAAGTTAGTAATTTCTTCATTCTATTAACTTCTTAGACTCTCCACTAGCTTTAGGTTCCACTCTGTTCATTAGGATTTTCACCATTTCTGTTGTGGTTTGCAGTGCCAGAACACATCTCTCAAGTGCATGCATACAATGAAACTGTGTGTGAGTGAAATGTCATTGTATAATTCCCAAGTCTGGTACCTGGACTGTAGAAGTTTATAAAAGCTTCTGTATCCAGGTAGATTTTCTGCTTTATCCTCATATAAGTTTACTGAAGTTCAAACTCAGGTCGAGCAATTTCAAAACAGAGGGTTTGGATCTGACTTTGAATCTGAATGAGAAATACATGTAAGTGATGGCAATTTTGATTTCTCCTCCAAAAAGTCTGTCAAGACTTTTATTAGCAAGGAGAGTCTTGTAGATTTATGAGAATCCTAGGGTTCTCTATAAATTCTTTGCATTTCCTGGTTACCAAATGAAAATATATTTGGGTTATTGTGTGAGTAAATATGGTTTATTGGATGGTGCTAGACAGTGGTGGGTTTCAAAAAATTTTGGAACCTCTTCTGTAGGTGTGGCCTGCTTTCCGGGTCCACTGGTGGAACCTCTTCAACCTGTTCGGTAGATTTGACGAACCGGTTCTATCGAACCAGTGCGAACCGGTAGGAACCCACCTCTGGTGCTAGACAAGGCAAAGTATTCTATACTTTTTTTGCCTAACATTACTGTTCCTCTTGTGTCTTCTAGCCAACTTTCCTGGATTATGTGAAACCACGTTCTTGGTCTTGCCCCCTTAAGATATGAAGACCTCTGGGAGTTATCATTAGAACCGAGATCAGAAGATGCTATTTAGTCAAACAATAACAAATTGGGTCCAATGATATAAATGTGTTGAGCCTTTTTTTAAAAGGGAAATTGTATGTATTTCTGGAAAATGATGGCATTTTGGCGCACTAGGCAGCTAAACCTGTAACAAGGCCCAATAGATTATTCTCATTCTTAGCTATTCCAATATGAGCCATTTCCATGCTGGTCATGAAATCTGCTAAAAGGTTACTGAAGAAATTTCTAGTTGTTTTGCTTATTGCAAATAGTTCTCTGTGTACTATTCCTTTTTACCCATTGTTTCCTTAAAAAAAATAATATTGTGTGATCTGGATAATAGTGACTATTTGCATAACTCTTTTATCAGAATCACACTTGAAATGGGACATTTGGACAGTATTTGTACTGCAGAACGAATAGGCCAGCTGCTACTTTTGTCCAGAACCTGAGGGGGAAAAAAACAGATATGGGTTAAGGGGGGAAAAAAATAAAGAACAGTTAAGGTACCTTTACAATTTATTTTATTTCTTAAACCATATCATAAAGGATTGCTGAAATATGTTACTGAGAGCCCTCTTTGGTGATGAATCAAAGATATCCCTCCCTTGTAAGTGAATGTATTAATACCTGGTTTCAGATCACCTGCCACAAGGGGGCTTCTCCCCTAATAGTAATAATATAAATATGTGATTTCTATGGATGCAGCCATCCAACGGATATTAGTAGAAATTGTAATTTGGCCTCGGGTAAATAAAAGTTGGGCATGATCCAACACTGCTTTTGAAGGGTAAAATTATTGCCTGTACGAATAGTGTATTGTGAAAAATGTGTCTAACGTTTTGCTTTGACATCTTTCAGTATTTTTCTTTCAAATTAAAGTAAGCCCAGTGTTATTGACTGTACCACCGTCTAGTACTTCCCGTGATGCCTAGTTTCTTAATAATCTGACAACACAAGAGTGGCCATTTATTACCAGGTTCATTTATCTTTTAGTTTTTGAACTGTTAATAGAAGAACATGTTAAGTACTAAACTTGTTGTAAATTACATGGCAAGCTTATAGCAAAGTTATCAGAGGCAGCCTTGTGGGTTCCATTAACATTCAGACTAGGACCAGTTTCTGTACTGATGATGTGTTCTATTGAAGCTCACAGAATTTAAAACGAAATGTGTTTAAAACTTTCCTTCTCTCTTTAGTTTAAGACCAATTTAAATGTGATATTATTAACCCAGTATTGTATGATACTTTTTTTCCCAAAAAAAGGTTGCCATTTAAGACCAATTTAAATGTGATATTATTAACCTAGTTAACAATTGTATGATACTTTTTTAAAAAAGGTTGCCATAAAAGGTATATTTTATACTACCTTCTCTTCCTTGTTATGATCTTAGTTCAAAGAATTTGGAAGTGAAGCTCTCTTTGTTTGCAATCATAGACAGTTTTTTCCCCCTATCAATAAAAATTCATTCAGCCAGCAAATGTAGTTTCATGCATTAGATTTCTGTGAGCTAGTCTTTCTCAACTATGAGCATAATATCTTCAGTATTAAATTATTTACAAACATTATTAGTATGTGATCATATGCCCATTATTTTTGTGGTCATATGCCCATTATTATTACATTTATTGATGACCACTGCAGTGATACAAATCATAATTAGCATTGAAGAACTGAGAAAAAAACACATTGATTTGGAAAACTTCAGTGTCCTGTTTAAAATAGCAGTTTGCTCAGTAACATTCCTTTGAAAGTAATAACGGGATGGATTAGGTATGGAACACCCTGAGACATGTTTTTGCCAATGTGACACATAATCACTATATTGGTAGCTGACAGTTAATACCCTACAAGGGCTGATATATAGCCTGTGGATAAATATTAGAGAACTCTGTTTCACTAGTCAATGTGAACTATTCATAAGGCATTGGGGCTGTGACTCAATTAAATAAAATAGTTGGAGATGGGGAAAATAAATACAGTCTATATATATATATTTCAGAATTGAGTCATGGTTCTCTAGTGCATTATAGATACTGATTGTTTTTTTCTCTTTGTTTTGTCTAATTTTGTCAAACTGAACTCATACTGCATTTGTTTTCTGTAGTATAACTTTAATTACTTAACTGAAATGATTTAATGTAACCACAGAGCACCAGAGTTAATCTTTTTTTCAGGATAAAAGTAGCTTGATATATATTAAAAGGGCAACTGGAAGATTTTCATTCTGCAAATATATTTGAAATACCCTTTGATTTCTGAAAATTAAACAGACACGTTTCAATACTATGTTTTGTTGTTTTTTTTAAAAATTAGAAGAAGACAAACTGAAGGAAACCTTGGAAGATTTGATATAAGACATGACTTTTACATGACTGATATAAATTAAAACCTTTAAATTATGTCATATTAATAGAACTAGTTTCACACTGAAAGTTTTCACACTGAAACCAGCTTTTCCTAAAAAATCATTGTATATATTTTAAGAATTGCTGGCATGGAATGCTTGTTATTTATATTTGGTAATTACGTGGTGGACAAATCCAATAACATTTACAGAAAGAATACTGAATTTGTTACTTTGAAATAAAACTTGTGTTCTTCTAAATTTGTTCTAAGGTAANAGGGCCCCTCGCTGTCAGAGTCTGGTGGCAGCTCCAACGGCTCCTGCTGGGCCACAACACTTAACCTATTAGCATTCCTAGTAAGCCCCATTTAAACCATGATAGCTTAGGTAATGTTAATTTCCTGCAGACTTCACACAGTCTGGCTTTGGCTATGTGGATATCCTCAAAGAAGAGAAGCATGTAAGGCTGCGTATACATTGCTTTCTACATGTTCTAGCTTTTATGTAGTTGTACACTCTTCTACAGTTGACAAATAAAAGTCCTAGTAAGAACGTACAATTGTACCAAATGCATGGTAAATATCTACTGTGTATATCTATAGGAGGCTGATATCATTTGAGAAACATCAATGAGAGAGACGGGGATTGTAAGTGGTATTTATTTAGGGAACTTCCAATGTTATAATGCCTGAACAGAATTAATTATGACTGAAGCATACAAGTGTGCCTTTTTATGTTGTGTATAGTTCAATTATGATGTTAGAGGCTTAATCTATTATGGATACCAGTAGTAACCCCAGGACTATCCATATCTTTTAAGTATGATTTGATCTTTTCTCCTCTTCTTCAGGGTTGCATCCGTACAGCTGATGGAGTCTGGCAACACCCCATTCGTAGAAATAAATTTCAATACCTGATACAGCATCCTATCTCCTTGACCAGAGCTGGAAGGTAATAAGATAGAACACTAGAAAACTTTAGATAAAATTATTGACATGTTAGCTGTCCCTTTGTAAAACCTCTGTAGCATTAAGAATGCTGAAAGAAAACTACGAAGCATGTTGTACTAGATAAATAAGGGAGGCAAATCTGCAGAAATGATACAGTGGTATCATAGGTTTGCATTTCTGCATATTTCTAATGCTTATATAGTTGTCCAACCAACTGAACCAAAAGCTACATTATCTGTTTTTGCACGACATATTGCTGCTAGCCATATTTTAAGATACTGTGCAAATTCAGTAGTTTCATAATGTACTGTGCAAATCTAGTTAAAGTGTTTGTGATCATGAATTGACAAAGTTTTCAACCAGGAATAGGAAAACAGAGAGCTGAACATCTGAGAAAATGGACAAGTAAAGATGAAAATAATGGGAGATAATTAAGAGCTCATTCTGAAAGGTGAAATAAAACTTTTTTTAAGGCAGGAAAATGTTTTGGGCAAACATCGTTACAAGAAATAAAGCAATTTTGTGTGCAATGGGGACCTATTAATAGCCAGGCAAGAATTTTGACTGAGAGTACCAGAAAATTAGCATGGCATTTGCAGACTGTGCCTTTAGATGTTCATATGTTAGTACTCTTCTGAGTTTTAGAGGCAAGATTCCGTAGCAGTTTCCCAATTAAGCTGTTATTTTCATTCTGTTTATTAAGGGATGTCTCTTTTCTGTATGATATCATCTCTCAAAAAGGACCAAGGGGTTTGAAACAGGATGCATATGCAGCTAAGCCTGTGAGTCTGTCTCTTTGCAAAAACTCTTGATAGTATTAAGCACAGGATTAAGATTTGACAACATTTCACAACTCTCAGAACTCTGGGGGTATGACATAATTTGGACTGAGCACTAAGCATTTATAGGACCAGGAGAGCATGTACTTGAAACAGTGGGGCCAACTGTCCAAAAACACTTTTTTTTTTTGTATATTTGCATTTAGTCAGGTAGTCACATTGTCTTAAAAATATCACATGTCATTTGGACTTCAAATAGCTGTTTATGTCCTTTTGGTTTTTTTTCCAAAATAAAACCATAAGACAAAAATATTTACTAGCTAAATTTTCTAAGTCATGCTTAGGGACCTAATATAGAGAGAGTATTTAAACAAATTATATTTCTTAAATCTAGTTAGATAATATATATCCTAACAATGATGCAATGGCCAGAGCAGGATAGAGATTGCTGTTCTGACCCTCTCCTCTGTCCAGTAACGAAAGCCGAGACAAGCTTAAATGGAATGTCCTTTAATAACAAGACCAGAATCTCGGTGGCTGAA